ATGGGTAATTAGAAAAACATTAATTCCATGATTATAGCTAAAATAATATATTCATTTTTTTTTAAATTATAGATGACTTGTTATTTTAATATGATAAGAAATTTAGATATTCCATCTTAACATATATGTAGTCGTCAATATTCATATGGTGTATATATTGTTCACATGTGTTCCAACGTGTTCATAAAACAATATCAATATACATCTAACATTTGGTCAATATGTGTCCACAAGTGAAACACTTTGATCATATTATTATTGTGTTCACATGTGAAAGCCAATTACTTTAGTGTTCATAAGTTTTAATAGGTGCAAATAAGTGTTCATAATGTTCCCGTATATTCATATGCGAAAGCCACAAACTAATATTAGTTAATAAGTTACATATATGTTCATATGTATTCATAATTGTTCATAATGCAACACGAATGATTCTACGAACTATAAAAAGAATTGCCGATTTGTAACCGATGTAATTAATTAATTATCGATTTGTAACCGATTTGGACATCTCTCCCAAAAATACCCCTCTTCACCTATGTTTTAATATCCTTCATTTTTAATTAATTATAAATATGCCACAATTGATTTCATCGATAGACACTTTAGCATTTCTTAGGGGCCGTTTACCAAACGCTTACCTGGGTAAGCGCTTATCAAGTCACATTACCTTATCGGATGAATATTGTAAGTACCAAAAATCTTACCCGGTAAGAGGAAGACAAGGACCGAGAGTCTTASCCAGTAAGTGAGGGCGACGACTCTTACCATCGTAAGCGCTTACCGGGTAAATTGTTGCATACGATGCCATATTGGTGGACTAAAGTCTTACCCGGTAAATAAACGGTAGTGCTAAATTTTACCGGTAAATGCTTACCAAATAAGTGTTTGGTAAACGGCCCCAGTAAAAAAAAAAATTTATAAAATCTATACCCCATAACTTGCTATAACAAAGTCCACAAGCTATCAGCACTTCAGCAGCCAAGGCTTTTTGATGGCTTCTCCTTCCTTCTGATCTATAAAGCTATAAACAAATAAGCATAAATGACCATAAGACCTTTACTGTGCAGAGACCCTTTCTCTCAATTTACCCTTTTACTACTCCTTATAACCCCTACATTAATCATCAAAATCATTCCCCTCCATATGTTTATTGTGAATTGTTGATGATCCAAGACCAACCACCACCAAACCGAACAGAAGTTGGTCGATCTATAAAGAGACCAATGTAGCTGAAAACGCCAATACACAGATCTAATCAGGGTATTGCAGCATAAAAACTAGACCAAATCCAAGCAGAAATAAACAGCGAAACAGCCAGTAAACACGCAGCTATGAAAGACAAGACTATGGTGCATTTCATGTAACAGGCTTGTATGGTCCTGGCATATGGGTGTCCGATCCTTATGGGCTAACAGGAAAAGTACAATCTGTAAATCCATCGTGGGGTGTGGAGGGTTTTGATCCTTTTTGTAAGTAACTGGCAACCAAATTCCAAGAGTCACAGGTTTGATAAATCAAATTAGGCCCATTGCCAACAGATGAACTATGAATTAACCCTCATGATCCTGAACCAATTCATAAAACTGATCAGAACAGTCCAGCAGCCAGCAGGAGCATAAAATGAGCATACCCAAGCAGAATCAGTCAGCAATATGTAAAAAGACATAATTAGCCAAATGAACCATCAGGACAAGACTGAATCTGATACTGGACATATAAGGGTAACATATACTTAAAACTTAACAGATCTTGCTCCTGTTCGAATCACAAGGGTAACATATAAGTGGAATGAGTAACTTACCAACAAAAGACTGAAAATTGTTGGAAATGGGCACCAATCCGAGGGAATTTATCCAATGATGGTATTTCCTGAAGTTGTAACACATCACGTCATAGTGACCAGACACGAAAAATGGCAAGATTTGATCGTATTTAGTTCAAACATGAGCAATGCTGTTAGCTACCATATGTATCAAACTTATTGATACATATGACTAGAAGACCAGAATAAGGGAGTGATATAAAAACTGATAAGCACATGAAAACTTACCCTACAATCCATTTGGCAAACCTCACCACAGCAAGAGAAACACTAAACACTTAAAAGTGCTTATTACCGGTGTCACACCGGAATAAGTCAATAAGTTGGTTTTACAAGCAATCCCAAAACACCCCTTAACATGTTGAGGTTCCATAGGAGTGATTCTTGGTTTAGCTGCCAATAAACCAGCTTCTTCAAGAAGTTGTTATAAATAAACCATTCTTAGGGGTAAATTGATCATATGGGAACAACTTCATATGTGAAGAAATTCACAATCTAAAAATATATTTAAATTAAGTTTTAATTTTCTTATTAATAATATTATCAAATGATTAAAAGATGGATCTTCTTTATTGTTATAATTCTTGATAAAATGCATTCATTAATCTTTCAAAAACAAGTCTGTCTTATCATAAAAATTCTCTGAACCGTAAGAAATAAGTAGATCTTCACAATTTTTTTTACGTTAATTACGACAAGATTTGAAATTAAAATAAATTTGACATTTTGTCATCGGATCATACTCGTAAACCATCAAGATTTGAAATTAAAATAAATTTGACATTTTGTCATCGGATCATACTCGTAAACCATGAACAAAATGAAAACATATAAATATCCAGACAATATAAGTATGACATTTGACATGTTGCTTTTAAAACTAGAATAGAGCAAGAGACACATTTGACATGTTGTAAAACATATACTTACATGGTCAACTAGAGTAGAGCAAGAGATACTTGTATGTTTTAAAAGCAACATGTCAAATGTACTAAAACTAGAGTAGACCAAGAGACACATTTGACATGTTGCTTTTAAATAAACAACATTGCTGCAAGAGATACTTCTCCTATCATAACATACTTGCTGAAAAGATGTAAACAACAGTTGCAATCACTATTTCGCAGATTTGCAGACCGGAGGGGTTCACGTCTCTACTTCGCAAAAGAAGAAACAGGTTTAAACAGGCAGAGCAGGAAAGCATAATGATGTGATCAAGAAAAGATGTGTGCCATTTAAAAACATGTATGGAAACTAAACAGAAATAGAAGATAGAAAACAAAACATGAAAGTGAAGGTGAAAAAATGCAAAAAGGGATCATGGAGAGTGCACTTTCAAAAATAAAAGCCGCTTGGAGGCTTTACCATGGAGAGCAATAGCTATATAAAGGGTTGAACCATCTAGTTCCCTTTCATAATCCATCGATTAGAATCCTATTCAGATTATATATCTTTCTTTTTTTAGTTATAGTTAATAACTAGCTATTGCTCTTATCCAAATTCTCCTGTTTCTGTCTCAATCTTACAGTGGATTCTCACTAAAGAAAAGGCATAACTTACAAGACAAAGAGACCAAAACAAATGAACAGCACAAGGTTTCAAACATGTTTTGAGATGCTTAAAGTTAACAGTTCGCTCCAGTTCGAATTACGGTTCCTTCCAGGAGATGGTGGTAATATACAAGTGGAAAGAACGGCTTACCAGCAATGTGAGAACTACAGTTCCTTTTAGGAATCGTATCGATAATCATAGACTTGTGTAACCAATTAAATAATAATTATGTCAAGGAATGTGGAAGGAGGTTTGGAAGTATACATGCAAAAGGGAAGACAAAAAATTGTCTGAACAGAAAGCCCAACTAGTCTCTGCATGCATCTTCACATGCAACCGCACCCCAACACTTGCACATGGATGTACTATCGGTTTGCAGGATTATGCACAGGAGTTGTGGGTATGATATGTGAGTAGACTGCTAAAATAACATATTAGGTTTACACACTTGTATTATTAACTCACAAAGCTTGTCTGCACAGCAGGAAAGAACAGTGATGTGATCAAGAAAAGTGTATGCCATTTAAAATGAAATATGGAAACTAATAAAAATAGAAGATAGAAAACAAAAAATGGAAGTGAAGGTGTAGAAATGCAAGGAGGCATCGTGGAGACTACACAGACATGACAAACATACAAGAAAAACAGACCAAAACAAATGAACAGCACAAGGTTTCAAACTTGTTTTGAGATGCTAAACTTCACAGTTCTTGATCCAGTATGAATTACGGTTCCTTCCAGGAGACGATGCTAATATATAAGTGGAAAGAGTGACCTACCAGAAAAGTTGCAACTTTAGGAAATACCATATTTGGATAAATACCTCCAGATTGGTGCTTGTTTCCATAACTTTTCACTCCTGGCAATCAGATAATGAAATATGGGAAAATATAATGGTATATAGTTCAGCATGAGCAATGATGTTAGCTACCATATGTATAAGAAATCTTAAGGTAACATTTTGAGAACCACATTGATAATCTTAGACGAAGGTTCCCAACTAAAAACAAAACAAATATGATAAGCCACCACTTAACTGTCATTATGCCAAGGAATGTGGAAGGTGGTTTGGAAGCATACATGCAAAAGGAGAGATAAAAGAAGTGTGTGTGTGGTGGGGGAGGGGGAGGGTCTGCATGCATCTTCAGATGCAACCGCCTCCAACATTGCATGTGGATGTACCTTTGGGTTACGCAATTATGCACAGGGGTTGGAAGGTCTGCATATGTGAAATAAGCTCCGAGGTCTTTGAAATCAAAATCAATTGGTAAATGAGTGGGATAATCGAGCATCATCACATATATCCATTGCATGTACCATGATGTGGGATCACTATCCACAACAAGCATCCTGTAAAAACCTATGTGCAAGGTGATATGTAGCAAGTAGCATATGTCCTTGAAAACTGTAGAGGAATCTCAGGGAAAGATCATCATGCCAGCATTCCATTGAACCTCAGGTAATATCATAAAATTTGCAGTTGTGTAAGGACAAAAGAAGCAGCAATGATACACAAGTGAAATCAATGGAATAAAAGCAATATCAGCATCTAAAAGAGTAACGGGAAAATCAGCAACCAGATTTAATGATGCAGTGATACAATTTAATGGGAAATTATAACTAAATTGGACAATTGATTAAGTTTTATTGAATGCTTTCCCAACAGTTCGAGAAGTTGGGATCTCCTTACAATGAGTTTTTACAGAATAACCACCCTCCCAACTGACCCTTCACTCTCTCTTACAGTGACACGATTCCTCCTCAACTGTTGCCACCACTTGCACTCTTGATATCAGCAACTATTGACTCTACTTGCTTTACTTACTTAAAAGACCCATTTACCCTTTCTTTGTTCTTCTCCTGGAATACTAATCCCAAACCTGTTCGTATCATGCAGAAGTCATGTCAACCAAACCAACCAACCAAACAAGCAAGACATCGTAGTGTGAATGTGTGATACATGTTTTCTTTGTCTAAGATCAGGGAAGATCATAAGAATAAAATATACACACTATCAAGGAAGTAAAAGATCGACTAAAGGTCGAACCTTTACAGCATGTTTACAGATAGGCCTTCACTCATATGAGTCATATACATACTCATCCTTACAGTTATACTTAATTTTAGCCTTCAAGTGAGTTTCATTAAGGTTTTGACTACAGTAGTAAAGACCCGGAGATAAGCTAGTCATTGAACAAGTGGATATGCTACAATATGTGACATAGAATGCAAAGGATGCAGCAACACGAGCATCAGGCTAGATCAGTTCCAACTTCAAATTCAACATTTCAACCATGAGAACTTAAATAAGAAACATGCGCTCTAACGTCTATTGCGACGTTATCTTTATTTTCCCTTCATCAATATAAAATCAACATTTAAATCATGACAACTTAAATAAGGAAACATGGTGTCTTGGTTTCTATGGTGACTTGCAAGATGTCAATATGTGGCCATGTTCCAAAACCATAGTTAACAATATATAATGCATCATTCTAGAATGATATGAAGTTTTGCTTTGTAACATTCAAGATCAAAGGTAAACCTTTTAAAGAAAACAAAAGGCTAAGTTATGATTCCAAAGCACTAGCATTTCTGTATCTTGTGATTTGTGAGCCAAGCCAAAAACCTTAGATCTAGCTAGAAGAAAAATACAGGAGCTTCCTCCTATATTCTGTATGCACAAAATTTAGAAGGATTTGAATTTTCAAAGAAGGAAGACAGATTTGGATATCCAATGACCTGAATACGGAATAAGTGCAGTATATTTATATAATATGTTACTCTCGTTCCAATAAGACGGCAACACAAACAAGTAGAAGGATATACAAAGGATTTACAGCCCACGTAATCCATGATAACCTATGTAGCCAAAGAAGCATGGAGGTTCTTAATGCAAAATTGAGTTTGGAAAACATACATAACATGGAATAGCCAACAACTATCAAATCTTGCAGAACTAATTCATCTCTTAATAAGCCCCGACAGAAAAACAAAGCAAAAGGTGCACAAAAGAATTGCCTTCTCTAATCTGTATATAAAGTGTTGGTACAGATGTAAAGATATTGGGTAGGTTGCTGATACTTGAGTGGAACCTAATGCTTAAGTGAATACAAAGAAACCACATAAGAAATCCTATTGATAAAAGATTGAAGAATTTAAAGTGCTGAGAATTTATGCTGCCTTGAAATCCAGTGAAGCCCAAAAAGCACGATCATAAGACAATTGTATGGTTGTAACAGACCAATCATCAGCCGTCTTAATAGACGTTGACATAGGGAAGATGTTAAGGCAAGTGGTGATTCATAAGCAAAAATGTTTGGATTTTGAGAAACAAAACATAGAGAGAATTTGCAATAGATGAACTTAAAAGAAAAAAGATGAATTTTGAGAAACATGAATGATCATAATGATCATAGCATTCATTAAGCAAAAGCTCCATGTTCTAACAAGAAAGTTGAAACTTGAAACAAAACTGTAATGCATTCCTCTGGTTCAAGAGGATGGACATACAACAATGGAAAGTTAAAGATGATCATTTCTAGACCAAGCATGGAATTTTTTTAAAGCAAAGCAACTTGACGAGCATGAAAAGGGATCCACCAGTTGCTGCAAACTTAATAGACTATAATCGGTGTCAACCTAGGATGAAAATTCTGAAAGGTGCAATAACTTGACAAATAGAAAAAGTGAGGACTTAATCACCATTCACCGTGCAATAGATATCGACCTTATCCAACACCATATAATTGTCGGATTTGTACACACATGAAGCAGGTAAAGCTAAAGATGGAGAATGCAAGGTTTCCAACTCTTGAAAAACAGCAAAGAGGCTGTAAATGATATTTTGCAGCCAGATATACATCACAACTGATTGTAGCAATAGCATTAACATTAAGAAATCTACCAAACTACTCTACATTGTTCATTATTTGATAATACTACGACAGCTACTACAAGCTACAGCTACAACAAGAAAAGAGTCTTACCTCATCACTAAGCAGCCTTACCCTTATCATCATTCACAACAGATAGTATTGGCAAACTACTAAGGAATTCGTCAAGTCCTTCAAAGAACCCGATACCTTCAATGTTGTCTTCCTCTCCCTGCCCATGCCCCCGATTCCCAGCAGCCATCCGTGGAGCAGGTTCTTCTCCTTCATTATTGTTGAATTCCACATTCAAATCCAACTTTCCCAACTCTTTTGCAACCCGACCTGATTGTCTTCTTGGGTTACTCGCCACTGGTTTTTTGCTACTCTCTGCCATAGGCACAGTAGATGCCCCCTCACCCTCTTGCACTGTAATACTGTTTTGCAGATTCTTGCCCATCCTGTTTCTAGCATCCTTCACCCTGACGGATAGACCTTTGGCTCTCCTTTTTTCACCCAGATCCTTCTTCATCCTTTTGGCCTTCTTTTTCTTGGCACTACGCCATTCAACATCAGAATCATCACTAGGTTCAGAGATTCCAGTAAAGATATCATCAGTAACATCGTCTATGTAGATACGTGGCCCCCAACTTCTACTTTTCTTGGCCATGCTATCGTTTAAATTGTCCTGAACATTCCTTGAGACCTCATTAAAAGGTGAAAAGGGTGTCCAATTTGAGTTTATACCCGTACCCTTGTTCTTCTCCAGATGTGATATCGAAACTCCTAAAGGGAAGGACCCCCAACAACAGAAATAGGCTTCCTGGCCTTCGATTATAGGTGGGGGAGAGGGAATTGGCACGGCCTGAAATGCCCTTTTACAGTTGTCACAACGGAGGGTACACTCCGCATAAACCCTAGGATATTCATACATGTATAAACAGTAAGGACACGCAGTCCAAAACGTAGGAGACTCATCGATATTCTCTGAAGCAGCCTCGGTTTCTCTCTCTATTTCTTCCTCCCTTACACCATTGTTACTATTAACCTGACTAGGAAGCTGGACTGGGGTAGCATTTTGTTCCAGCGGCTCTTCCTCTTGTTGCTCTCGTTCCTGCTGCGGCTGCCGCTGTTGCTGTGGCTGCAAAGGTTGCGGCGGCGGCGGTGGGGCTTGTATTTGCACCGGTGGTGGGGCTTGTGTTTGCGGTGGTGGTGGCGTTTGTGTTTGCGGTGGTGGTGGGACTTGTGGTGGAGGTAATGGCGCTTGTGGTTGTGGCGGTGGCTGTAGAGGCATCTGCTGCTGCCGCGGTTGTGGTTGTGCCTGGGGCGGCTGCGAATGTGGCTGAGATGGTGGGGGCGATTGTGGCCAAGACAATGGGGGTTGTGGTGGTGCTGCAGGAGGAGGCGGAGTCGGCTGTCGCATAGGTGGCTGCGGCTGAGGAGGTTGTGGTGATGGTCGAGTTTGTTGCTGCGGTGTGGACGTAATTTGGAACGGCTGTACCTGCGGTTGAAACAGTTGTTCCTGCTCGCGTTGCTGAAACAGATGCTCCTGCTCACGAACAGGCACTGGCCTAACTGGATTTGGTTGTGATAGAAAATTGTGCTGTTGCAGTTGCTGCTGTTGATGACTCCGTTGTAACCTAGTTTGAAATGTCTGCGGCGGCTCGGCCAATTCCTGCTCGTGACCCGACCCCATATGATTCAGTGAAAAAAAATTATGTTGATGCTGCTGTTGGTGATGATGTTGATGCTGTTGGTGGTGATGCTGTTCGAGGTTAAACCCTATATGGTTCATCTGCTGCTGCTGCGGAAAATCAAGGTCCGCATCATACAGAGACTTTCTCAAAGGGTTCGACAACACGCCCCAAGCATCATTCACTAGCTGAAACGCTTGATCGGAGTAAGGGAACCTGTTTTGATGAGGGTTTAACATGACAGCCAAACGCCGGTACTGCGACGCGATGTGCTCCGTGTCCTGAACAAACCGGACGAGCTGGAGAATCGCGTAGAAATCCGGCTGCTGAGCTCCGTTGTTTCCSAYGACYCGTTTCTCGGCGGCGAGGAGCGTATCTGCAATTGCTAGGATCTGRTCAGCAGCTTCAAGTCTGGGGTCGGAMTCTCKAGCTCGGATCGCAAATGTCTTGGAGCCCACAAGGTCGTGTCCCATGAGCAACTTCTCGGCGATACCAAGCCACCGTTGCGCCTCCGCCCGAGCTATGAAGCTATGGGGGTCCATAGTTTCTCTCACTAAAACAAAGAGTTTCTCTCTCCACAACTCAAACAACGCTCATGGAGGAAGAGGAGGAGGGTTAAAAGGGTGAACAGATTGTTCTTCTTTGACCGAAAAGGACTTGGTTTTTATAGGGAAAGGAAGGAGATCCAAGGGTATCAATGTCTTTTCACAGGCTTGGAGTTGGAATCTAGTGTATCTATCTCGGATTGGATGTCATGCACGTTTTAATTTAATTATTTTTGAACTAATTGACAACAACAAACGTTCGCGCCAGATCAGGAATTGCTATTTCCAGAACACAAGTGCTTTGAACAGTTGTACATTTAAGGAGCAATTGTTGTACCTTTTTTTTATTTCAGTTGTTGGGTCTTTTCACGACTATTTGACTCGTCACAAAGGATGATGCAGCAACCGGATCGTTTTTAAGATATCATTAATTTATATTACATTTGAAAATATTTAATAAAAAATAGATTCGGATTCCAATAAATAAAAATAATATTTTTAATATTTATATTTTTTCCTAACATATTTTGGATCGGCTTAGGAAAACAAAATCATATTTTATTTAAACTAGATGAATGATTAAGAGGTCGTTTACCAAACATTTATTTGGGTAAGTGTTTATTAAGTCATGTTACCTCACCGGATGATTATGTAGGGCCGGTCCTAAGATTTTCGATGTTCTGTGCGAAAATAATGAAAAACACCCCAAAGCCTATTTTTTTAAGCCAATGAAACAACGAAACATGCGATTTTTTAAAAAAGTTTAGAACATATTCAAGTTAAGTATCTCATCCTCATGTTGATTTTTATTAATTACAATAAAATAAAAATACAATGAAGGAACATAAAAACCAAAACTCCGAATACAAAATATAAAATGATAAAAGGATAAATTTTGGATTAAGATCGTGTTTCTTTCGTTTCCAGTTTTCCTTTTTCCAAATTGAAATTTGCAAAATAGAAATTTTATTTCAATATATGGGTCTTAAAAGACAAGGAAAACTATAATCAGTTTTTAACTAAAATAGTAAATTACATCTAAATTACTGTCATAGTAAGCAACAAGTAAAACTCAAAAATTACAGGTTTAACAACTAAAGACTAAGAGTTTATCTGTTAGCAGCTTAATAAGTTTAATGGAACTAACAGTTTATTCACTCAATTATGCATGACTGGTTCGTAGTGGCTCATTAGTGACTTATCTAATAAGCTTCTAGGGGGAGCTTTATATAGAAAGTCAAGTTTTTTTTTCAAACATGTTCCTTCCAACTAAAAAAACACTCCTTACATCTGGAGAAAAAAAAACTTTCCCAAGCAAAAAATTTTCCAACTTCTACAAACAGATTAATTCATAAAGACAACTTTATTCATACAAACAACTTTACACAAATAAAAACTTTTCCAACTTTTTTCCAACGATGTGCATTCAGTATTAATCACTATTAGGCATTGGGCCTGTTTTTATAGTTAAAGCTCAATTGTCCAATCCCCAAATTATTAAACCTCAAACTAATAATAAATGACAACTTGATGCTCCTTTAGGCTTTGATGCCATGTGTGGCCGCACGGGCTGTACGTGGCCAGGGCCGGCCCTGTGATTATGGCGAGCACCAAAAATCTTACCCGATAAGAGTGAAACAAGGACCATGAATCTTACCCAGTAAGTAAGGACGACTATTCTTACCACGATAAGCACTTAACAGGTAAATTGTTGCATACGATGTCGTTTTGGTGGACTAAAATCTTACCTGCTACGTAAATAGTGGTGTTAAATTTGACCGGTAATTACTTACCAGGTAAGTGTTTGGTAAACGGCCTCTAAGATTAGTTTCTATGCTTTGTTAGAATTTGATGGTTCGTAAATGAAACATCCTGTATGTAAATATATGCATATATATTATTAATATTGCATATAGTACAATATGTATATAATATACATATTATATATAATATATTGTTATTGTAGAGGAAAGTTCAGTTACGAGTGTGTTATTGCTACAAACCAAGAGATAAACGAAAGTGACACATGTCTTCATTGGTTATTAATAACGGATGTGGATTTTTTACAATATTCATGATAAATATTTAGTGAATAGTCGAGACATGTGACGAGATTTTGTTTATATCCGATTGCAACAGAAGAGAGGTTTGCAACGAAACATTCTCTTATTAATCTATTTTAATATATACGTATGTTGTGTGTGTGTATATATTAAATGTAATAATGATTATATATGCAATACAATATATAACATATTATATAATTATTATATGTAAATGTATATAACTTAATATTATATATATATATATATATATAGGGTTTATTTCAAATACAACCTATCGCATTTGTACAACCAATGCAACCCAATAAATTGAAATATTTATGGAADTGATTAGAGTTCATTTATTATGATTTAAATATTTATGGAAGATGAATACGATTCATTAATTATGATTAATACTTTATATTAGGAAATAATAAAAAACTCTATAAAATCACATATTAATCAAATGAAATGGACGGTTGAGATTAGGTTGTATTGGTTGYACAAATGACAAGGGTTGTATAATAACCAATCTATATATATATATATATATATATATTAATAGTTAATACACTGTTTATATACCTATATACTAAATGATACATATAATTATCTTAATAGTATATATTATAATATTATATAATAATGTGTGTGTGTATATATATATATATTAGTGGTGTACATGTGCGATGCAGTACGGGTGAATCACAATTCTGAAACATTAGTTTAGCTTAGAATCATGAGTTTGTTTGGTTATTTTACAAGTCAACTAATATATAAAGTTGAAGACTAATATAACGTATTAGTAAGATCGATTGGAAAAATAATTGCACACATGTTGAGTTTCTAAACTCATATAAAGTTGAAGGGTTGGGTTGGGGTGGGGTACATGTAGGATCTGAAACCGTTTCTGATATTGTTGCTTCAAATTTCAGTTTACTTCAAGAGAAAGAAGAATTTTGAACTTGAATTTGGGTTCAAAATAGAAAACAAACAAAGTGTCAAACAATTTTGGGAAGACCAAACATACATTTTTCATGTAAATATGGTTTATTTAGATCTGAAACTTTGACCAAACAAATGGTATGTTTTAAGCATTTATACATTATACATAATAGTTTGTACTTAAGAGATTTTTAAATCTCTTAGCATAAATTGATAGTACTTTATACTTTGAAACTTGTAATTAAAACTTTTGGTTTAAATACCTATTAATACAACATAGATATATCATTCATGCCATTATAACATTATAAATAATGTATGACTTTTTGAGAGCTCCTAAATTTATGAGGATCATGGTATTTTGCATGAGTCATTAATTTAAAATAATTAATTTTATTAATTATGTAAACATTAAAAAGTAATTTAGGGGATTGATATTAGAAAAGTCAAACTTCATACATGTATATTATTGGTTTTGGAAGAGTAACGACTCACATAGAAAATAATTGTAGAAAGAAAGTTGGATATAAATACAATAGATTTTTACTTTTTAATTATATTTACTTATAAAAACAAAAAAATTACAGATTTATTGCAGAAGGTAGAAGATAACACCTGATCTAAAACAATCTAGATGATGATAAATTTGCTAAAGTTTGAAAGTGTAATAGAAGAATGTGTTTTTCACGTCTGATAAACTGAGATAATCCTATCACTTGGGCCTGTTTGTTTTTTAAATTTTTCACTTAATTGCATCTTAACTCTTAATCGTTCAGACATAAGTGATTTCAGACTGTTTGTTTTTTTTTTTAATTAAGAGTTTTTTTTACCTCTTACTGTCCTCTTAAAATTAAGTGGGAATCTTATGTCTGAAATCAATTTCAGAGCCGCATCCCATCTCCATCTCCATCTCCATCTCGCTCTCAACTCTCGATTTCTCCATCTCCATTTCGCTATCAACTCTCGATTTCTCCATCTCGCTCTCAACTCTAGATTTCTCCATCTCCATCTCCATCTCGCTCTTCCATCTCCATCTCGCTCTCAGCTCTCGATTTCAAGGTCTCGCTCTCATACAGGACAAGAGTTGATGAGCCAAACTTGCTGGTAAAGTTTGTACTAGAAAATCGGCTCGCCGAAAATAGTATTTGTGAAACTATTTTTGATTTCTTCATACTGTTTTTCAATCGGCTAAATGATAATTCAATCCGTTTTGGTAACTATCTGGTTCCACTTCATCTAGTCTTAAATCTTGTTGAAAGCATTTGCTCTTTGACCAGTATCGATAATAATAAGTAATTCTATTATATGAAACAAATACAGATAAACTTAAAAAAAAAGCATGAATTTAGAAATATGTGAGGGAATATTAACATGTACGGATGCATTTAGCCACCCTTTACTTTTTAGACCATAAAGTGAAGATTTTCAATTTCTTTTGCAAAATAGGGAAAAAAAAATTAAAAATGATTTCATTTTGTTGCAACTTGCCATTAACCTTAAAGGTGGCATTTAGTTTACATGTTTCCAATGAAATTAAAAGAAATTGGAATGATTAATTCCGTTGACCAAATTACATCAAGGAGTTTGGTTTAACTATGGAATGGAATTCCACATATTCGATCATTCATGGATTTGGTTATTCCATAACAATTGAGAAAGAATTCAATTTTATTTCATCTCATTTTCTCAAAAAGACAAAGTTATCCACATCTTCCCTATTTGATTTATCTGGACCCGCATGATTTCCATTATAAACCACCGCCCATCTGAACCACCACCGTTCTGAACCACTGTCGACCACCACGGACCACCACCGTTCTAAACCACACCCGATCACCACCGTTATAAAAGGGGTATTTTGGTCATTATTGTTTATTCATTCTGATTCTGAAAACTACATTCTACCAACCAAACAGACAGATTTTAAATCATTAACAAACTTCATTCCAATTATTCCAACAAAATGCGCAGTCAAATTCTATTCCAGTTACTTCAAAGTCAAATTCTTATAACATATTACATTTCTTCGGTAAATATTCTGCGAACCAATTAGACTTTCGAAATCTTTTTCGCCAGGTTTCATTCTCTTTCTTTTTTGATTGGATGATGGAAAAACCAGCAAGCTACGGCTTGAAAGCTTACCTTCTTCGTTAACAAGCCCTCGTTTGTTCTGTCGACTTGTACATCATTAGTGTAAAATATATATTAAAACGTTGAACACAAAGTTTCTTCCCAAAACATGAATGCGAAGTTGATTTTATGTCAACTTAGAAGTTTAGTCATTATTCTCCAAAATAAAAGTTTTGTATCACTATCAAAATGACAATTTTTTTTTATTAACCTGGATATTCAACCTGCTATGCGAGCCGACTAATCCCAGAACGACTATCCGCTTCGCAGATGACCCGGAGTCACCACATGTGAACCTTCGTGACCACAAGAGGATTTTTATTCCTTCTTGGATTCGACCTTGGGACCTCCAAACACTTACCTTTAAAGCTTAAGCTCAAACTAATTGGACACCACTCTTATGGTTTCAAAACGGAACTTTTGATTCATGGTTCCCAAAGAAAGAATTAAAGAAAAAGTTGATTCAATTTTGCTAAAAAAAAGTGCATGGCACAACGGATTAAGTTCCAATCAATCGAATACATTTTCAACATTTTCCCATGGAACTTAAAGAATGCCAAATGGGGATCATATTTATAATCGGCTACTTTGAATACGCTTCTCCGTAATCAATAATCATCCAAGTCGATGAACGAAAAGTCCACACTCGATAACCATTTCATTTTGATCGAAAAAGATGAAATCGCAATGCAAAATACAAAATATGATCGTAAACAGTTCTCATATATATATATTCTCAGTTTCCAGACGTACCAAGCCAAGTGAAGTCAGCCATTAAGGTTCCGGAAAAGCTCGGGAAGATGAGCATTGGTGAGCTTTGTCCTCTTACTGATCTCAGTCTTCTTCTTCTTCTGTTTTGGTTTAGTTAATATGCCAAAGTTCTGAGCAGCTACTCTCCTTTTAGCCGTGTTTGTGGCTGGCTTCATCCCGTTCTTTTGCAACTCCCGCTCGATATCCAGCATGTCTCGTGGCAATTCAATTGCCCTGAATAGCCCTTTCAGTTCATCATCAACCTTGATGGGCACTCGAGGATCATTAGGATACGCAATATCTTCCTGAGAGTCGAAATTCGATAGAAGCCAGATCTGACGAGCAGCTTTCAGGGCCTGACATGCAAACACAACATATATATGTTTTCCATCATCACCTCACACGTATATATACACATGCATACAGTATACATACATATATATGTGTGTGTGTAGAAAGGTCCATACTCCATAGTCCATACACAAAACTTGGGGAGACGTATAAAAACTATGCTTCAAAACATGTATTTTGGAGGAAGGTCCCATCCAAAATGCAGTAAAATTTGGGTGATTGCAGAGAAATTTTATGTAGGGACTGTTGATGGTTTACAACCGTGTACATGCAGACATTCCTATGCACACAAAAATTGACATATATATACATATGTGAGTGTGAGTGTGGGTGTGGGTGTGGGTGTGGGTGTGGGTGTGGGTGTGGGTGTGGGTGTGGGTGTGGGTGTGGGTGTGGGTGTCTATATCTGTATATACATATACACACACAAGTGTGTGTTTAAGTCTAAATATGTATATGCATGTAAAGACTACAGCAAGCTGAACTACTGAAGAAGTGATTTATTGGTTAATTCTTCTTCAAGCCTAAACTTTTGTGAATCTCATAGAAGACGACGAAAACTACTCAATCAGTGTGCAGCTGTTTAGAAGTCCCCGTGCTTTAAAACGTATTTTGGATGTGGAAACCACACAAAGCACACGTGTTTAAAAGAACAATTTGCTCCAAAAAATGCTATGCAATAAGTCCTGATATTTCTTTTTACCCCTAATAGGAACATGCACATGTGAATATAATCCGTGCTCACAATACCATCTGATCTTCAGTGTTCAAATAGCTTTTCGCTCGTATAATTACAGGAATAAATAGACTTAAATCATCACAAACAAGTTACATATGTGTGATACATCATCACAAGGTGGAAATTTTGGAGGTTAAAAATACCTGTAAATCTTCCATGACTGTCGGGTAGGCATCCTTAAGATCAGCAACAGCAATACCCTCTGCAAATGTTCGTATTAAACGGAGAAGTTCTTTCTGGTCTCTCACATTATGCTTGGACTGTAAAAAAAAAAATTAACTTCACAAATTACATCAAGGCGAAGAAGGGTTTTTTCACAAACGACAAGGGAGAAGGTAATCTTGAACCCATGAACTCAAAGGTGTTACCACCTAAGGAATGGAGCCGAACGCAAACAAGCTAAATGCTTGATAGCATCAAAACTGAGAATTTCTCCACGAAAAGATAAGGTGATATTTCTCATATTGAGTTAACATCTGAAATTTTATAACAAATTATATTGAATCATTAAAAAAAAGGATTACCTTGTACGAGAAGCGCTTCCCCTCATAATTCACTTTAGGGTTCTTTGCCAAACTCTCAAACACGGCCTTGTTGCCTTTGACATCAACATAACATGCTTCATTTATCTGCTCCGCTGTAAAGGATTGCCTTGACTGTATATATCAACAAACTAGTTTGATTAATAAATGATCATGAGGCCACACGAGCATAAATGCTAATAGTTCATCTTTTTACAAACATGCTCGTCTGCACTAACAAAAAAGTGCAGGACATCTTCAAAATGTCCCTTGAAATATAAATTACTACTTCTGTCCCAAGAAACGACTCCACTTTTTCGTGTCAAACGAGTTGTCTTTCAACATCCAACATCTGGGTAGAAAATGTTATTAGTTTAGTAATGTTAAGCAAAAGCTTAAAATCACATGTTTAATTTTAACACTATAAGCATGTTCCTTACCATTAAACATGTATACTTGTATCTTAGAAAGCAAGAGTCCTAAACAAGACGACTATAAAAATGAAGTCACAGAGACGATCAAAAAAGTGAACTTGAATATCGGCAATGAAACTTGAAGAAATGTGGGCTCGGTAATCTGAATATTCCTGTCTGAGGACTAAGTTTGTTTTTGAAGCCATAGCCATTTGACTCTCTCACAAACACACTGAAAAGATTCTGAATTTAAACGAAGAAACATATTCGTAAGTCAAATTACAGAGATCCAAATGTGTGAATATGTTGTCTGACCAGAATACTTAAGAAGGTTCATTTTCTATAACTTCAGTCATTAGAGGTTCAGGCAACGCTATACAGGTCAAATTGGGAGGAATACATTTAATTATCTTTGTTTTAAATATTTGTACTTTATGTTGTGAATACATTTATATGTAACTTTGGAAAATATGAGCCGGAGTTTTGAAAACACCCTCTCCCTAGGTTGCACTTTCAACTACTGTTAATCACTCCAAAACATAAAAAAACACATCATCCTATAAAAAACTGCTCTCATAATCATTAACTTACAAGATAGGGAAGGTATCATGTGCTTCTAAATTCTATAATTCTGAAAGAGATACAGAATAACAGGATTGGATTATCATATCTATGGCTATAACTTTCTTGGTTTTGAAGTTTCAAGCCATTTGTAGGTATTTACTAACGTTAAGAAAAATAGTTGATGATTATATCACAAAAAATGAAACAAGAACGACTAATGACAAAGAATAACTTCTAAAATGAACTTGGAAGAAGAAAAAATGGATAATTTACCAAATGAATGCAACCATTGACTCGTTATGATACTGGGATAGTTGAATTTTATATTAAAGCAAAAGTTAGGGATTATGGAGTTGCTTTTTCTTCTTCTTTCAAATACTACACCGCTCCGTAAAACAATTACAGCAAACTTCATTTTCAGATGTTGCAACGCTTATTAAAGCTAACTTTACCAACTTCTGAAGATTTACTTTAACTTAATTGCAAAAAGTTAACTGTACACACCCTTTTCTTGAATTTGTCATAATGAAATGGCATTTGAACATTTGATTAATGACCAAACAATTTCAAAAATACAGGTGTAAAGTGTTGCTACATAGGCAAAGGGTTGAGCTAACTGAACAAAAACAGAAATTGATACAACACTGCCACAGATGGTTTGGTTATCTCCAACATAAGCTTTTGAATGCATCAACTAGAAGACGAGATTGTACCAAGAAAGGGTGAACAGGAGAAACAAAGGTCCACCTAGATTGGAATTGGAGAAGTTGTGAACAGAGATTAAAATGGAACACACGAACTGAGTTGGCTCACTCAGGAATGCATAGACTAATGTATTTTATGCCAACGAGATCAAAGGAAACTTGCTTCTTCCTAATCACTTTGCCTTTCATCGTTAGCTTACACAAGTAGTTTGGACTTAAATAGATGTAGATGTCGGGCCTGACTTGTATAAGAACGCATGGAATAATGTTCTTTATGTGCAAGAACTTCAAGGAAACTTCCCTTACAAGTTACAATTATGGTTTGCTTTAATTCTTAGTCAAAATACCTACTTTGAGATAAAAACTTGATGTGGATGTTCCGTCATTTGTTGTAATTTGCATTGGATAAAGAGAATAGTGTTTATTTGTTTCTATTTCTCAGGTTAATATTTTATAGTATGATATATGTGCAAGCTTACTGCACAGGCAAATTCATTGATTTGCTTCGATAGAGTGTAGAGCTAGAATTAACACCATTTAACAAGATCATTCAGCACGTAGACCCATATATTAGTAAACTGAAGAGATGAACAGATAAAAACTTAGATGGTTGTAACCAACTTCCATCACAGCAGCTTGTTGAGCAATCATCTTGACATGCGAATATAAGCAATAATGCATCATCTTGGAATAAGCAAAGGAAACAATTCTTCAATTGCTAAGAGTTAGGGAGGTGTAGGGTTAACAGCTTAGACCACTTTCTTGCTCTCCTTTTCCTGTCCTAATACATTAATATATATCAAAATCACATAACAACTTGTGTTACCTGACAAAATTTAATTCACAACTAAACGAGAAGGATGCTAAAGCACTTCAAATTTTGTGCCACAAGCAACGGGAGGGTGAAAGAAGTCATGTGGAATAGAAGAAATAATATTTTAATAGGAGGATGAAATCAATAGGTTTGTTATGGAGATTATATTGAAGAGACAAACTCGGACAAAAAGGAATCTTCAAAAAGCCAATCTCCACATCCTATAAAAGATCCTGATCCAGCCCCTTCGAATAATGTGTATGACATCAGACCATGTCAAATAGTATTCTAAGACTCAGGCCATGTGTGGTGCGACATTAAAGAGACTCTATGGGTCAATGTGACTAGAGACTCCGTCCTGGAACTAATGCTACCCATGCATAATTTCAGCTGGCACTAATATTAAGAAGAAAGACTTCTATGCATAGCATCATCGTCTTGTTAATAAAACACATAAGACACTAATAAAATTTTACCACTGATTTTTACTCTTTTCTGAAGCATCTCGTACGAAACGTTTACTTTTAACTTAAATTACATTCATTGCCTATTACTTAACTAATTCTGCCCTTTCATTAGCCTTATAATGGTTCAGACTCCACTCAATTGTAAAAGTCAGGTGGGAAAACAAATGCCTATTATGATCAAATTAACAGACATAAAGATCAACCTCCTTCAGCACATATTTGTCACGGCAGGTACATGCTGATAAATCGTAGGAACTTTTCCTATAGGATGAGGTGATAGCAATGTTTTTTTCCTAAACCATCCCAATGTATTTAAAGAACAAGCTTTATGGAAGGTGAAATATTTTGGGAACAAATCACTAAATTCTCTTCATTGACAAATGGAGGTATAAAATTGAAGGGAAATGATCTTTTCCATCATTTGCCTACTTTCTGTTGCAGTTGACCGATCATCAATGTGATCATATAGGTTTTGGAACACTTGCTAAGGATTTTTTCACTACTGTTCTACTGGAGAGATTCAAAATCACAGTCATAGTTGATTAAGAAAGATACACTAGTAGTGGATGCATTCCAAACTCCTAAGTGATCCCCACAAGCAATGCAATTGAATTTTTTTTTCTTTCATCAATTTCAAAATAATAACAATTCTTTCTAGCCACTTGTATGAAAAACTTCATCCTTCCCCTATAATTACATATTTTGTCTTGGTGAATTGCCCTTGCATGCTGAATTCTTGGTCAATAGCAATCACCTACTTGGCTATACCATCTTTTTGGAATACACCAAAAAACCCAACCAATTGCAGGCTTATAAACAATATCACAATATCATCTAATCAAATTGCAATGTAAATATGAAACAAAAGTAAATGATGTCCCAAAAAAAAGATGCCAATGGCTCTATCATAGCATAAAAACCGAAACAAACTATCCCAGTATATTCCACTCAAATGTGGGATCTTGTGGATGGGGTGTACAAAGCCCTATCCTCTACTATAAAAAGTTGAGCGACTGTTCCCATGAAAAGCCCTGGCTTCCGAAAAAGTGTACGAATTTTTTTAACCTCTCAAGTTTCAGAAAAAATTGTCAAAAAGTTCAAAGAACGGAAAAAAAAGAATTTGAAAGTGAAGATCTTGAGATCAGAGAGGACTATACAACTACTTTAAAAAAGAACCAAGGCTAGATAGTAAGCAACACCATAGAAAAAACAGAAGCAGGTTCAAGGAACATAGCAAAGGTCTGAAACGTAGTACCCTGGTAACCTATTTGTCAACTCACCACTCCTCTGCCCACTCACCTCTCCAACTCCCCAGCTAGACTGGTCCCCCGGTCAGCTAAACTGAATTAGGCTGTCTATTAACCTCAATTTAGGATGTAAGTATGGCAGCAGAGGCACCCATAACCATCAATTCACCAAGAAAAAGTACTTTGAAGAATATATAGAATTGTCATACCAAAAATAAAAGTGGCATTCAAACTGAACATACCTAGGTGCCGGTTGCCTGACATTTGTAAATGGTCCAATAAGCCATGCCATTTTAAGAAGTTAAACAAACATAATGAACCATGTGATATCACTAGCATTGTTTCTTTATGTTTATATGTTTAACAAAATAAGGTTAAATACAAGTGTGACTAAAGATGCGCCTATATACATGTAAACTTAGAGTCTGATGATCTTCTAATCAAAATCAACATACAAGAAGAAGACTAGCCTTGTCAATTTTCACTATTCCCACAGCCTGCTTGATTTCTGTGTAGTCACTAGTCAGAAGCTATTTTCCTCTTTAGTGATGGAATACCCAACTAAATAGCTTATATATTTTTCAAATGCTCAACAGCATATTTCTACTCATATGGTTCTAAAAACAATCTCTTATGTTATGGTATATTACCATGCACAAGCAATACAAAAAAAGTAAGGATAAAAACCAACAACACATAGAAAATGTACCTCAAACAGTAGATCAATCACTCTTTTGATCTGGGCTCCTACAGGGCTCTTCCTTATATTATTAATATGTTGCAGCCTCTCTGTGTCATTGGAGAATTTGACAGCAGGAAGAGGCGACTTTGCCAAGGTGCTTGCAGGCACAGCTCTAGGAGGAGGAGCGGTTGTCTTAGTGGTTGTTTTAGAACCTGCAATGCTTTTAAGTGTCGACTGGCATTTCTCCTGTTGCTTCTTGAACCTATTCAAACTTTCTTGCAACGATCCCATATGAGGGCCGGTTGCGTCTCAAGCAAACTACAGATACACCAAACAAGCCAAACAAATATCCAATCAAACAAAGAGATCCAACCTAAATGAGCAAACATCAAGCATTCTAAGCTCAACAATTTACTTTCCAGCAGAATTCTAACAAGTAACCTTCTAGCACAAGCAGAAAGGAGCAGTTAGTTTAAATATATAAAATGTCATTACCTTTAGATTATGTAAATATATAGAAGTACGATTTTGGTACTACTTTGTTACATTACAGTTGGTTTTTTCAGTGATCAGTTTCATAGTTCCTTTAATACAATAATGCGTAGCGAAAAATCGCCTCCCGAGTTTAAACGACTGCCTAGAAGACCATTTAGGCTTATGCGGTTTGGCAACAGCCCCAAGTCAGGTGTAAGCGGACAACTAAAAGTCTCAAAATTTTAACCAGCCATCGATCAAGGACTAATGCAAACAAATTGGCGATTAAGCCGATAAAATTGAAAAGAAAAAAAGAACCCCAAAATACTGAAACCCCTTTTCATTATAACTACGAACATGATAACTTGTAAAAAATTTGAAATATCGCTACCTACTAGTGCGCCTGCAGGACGAATAAATCGAGCAGATGATCACCAGCTGCTCCGAGGATAAGCCACCACGACTGCCGTTGCGATTCCCTTTTGTTTTGATCTGGCGTTGGCTCCTATTTTCTGCTTTTAAGCAGCGTTTGGTACCAGACCGGATGGAAAAGGACTGAACTGTTGAAAAGAAAAGTGATAGTAGCATAAAAAACAAAACTCATGGTCCAGTGGTTAATTATCAAAAAAAAAAAAAAAACAACAAATCTATGAACTATGAAAATCAAGAAATCGAAGACCATGGTTGGAAATAAGGAAATCAATATCTGGAACCAAGGTAACGAGAAATGGAAGATCATTATTGGAAATCAAGAAATTGATGTCTTCAACCATGAAAATCGAGAAATTGAAGAACACGGCTGGAAAAAATCGTATCTGGAAGAAATCTAGAGATTGAAGACCAAGAAATCGTACCTGGAAGAAATCGAGGTCGAAGGTGCGAAGAGATAAGAATCGATGATAGCTGGAAACTCTGTGGGTTTGATTTAGGAAGACGATGATAATTTACTTTCGGATGTTATAAAGAGGGAATTTACGGCTTGTTTGTTAAGACCAAAATTTTATGTCTTCTAGGTCCGATTACTCGATTAGTCGGGGGTGTTTGTTTTGGTTTGTTATTGATAATAAACATTTTTAAATGTTTGGATAAATAATTTATATCGATGTGAAATCGGTAATAAGAAATTTTTGAAGAATTAGTACATATAATAAATTGATACGTGTTTTTGTAAACAAAACATAAGTTGTTTTAAATAAACAATTTCAAACACCCCCTTAATAGGTAAGATTATACTGTTTTTTTTAATTTTTAAAGTTACCTATGTTTTGTTATTTTTTATCTGATAAGAGTTAAACCAATCTTTTATTTATCTCTTATTGTTCTCTAAACTCTTAGTAACGGCTTTTGTCAACCGATTAAATTTAATTGATCATTTCTATCAATCGATCCTCACATGTATCAATTGATGTACTTTAATAGGATTTAAATGTATTAAATATCGTTAACAACATATTTTTATTTAAATAAATGTTAATTACATAATTTATGTGTAAATTTCGTAATGATGATGAAAATATGTGAAATTGTATAAATTTATTTATAAATTTAATATTATAATTTTCTAATGGATAAAATAGACAATTTAAATAAATTCATACATTTATCAGTTTACAAAAACAAACAGTCTTATTGATTCAGATTTCAGCATCATCTCTTATTGGTAGGATAAATAATTTGTAGATGATATAAGTTGTTGTGTGGCCGAACATGGAATTGGGACATCGATTAGACAAATACATGTTTAATTGTGTTCTCACATGTCTCAATCGATCAAGTGGATGCAGGAGACTCCCTTAGGTACGTCATAATTGGTCACTTTGTTGTGCTGCTTTATTCTTAGTACGCTTCCACCACTTCTACGGTTGTATTATCTACATTGTACTTAATATCATGTTTCTTAAGTTATAATATGTATTCTACTTTGGCAATAACCACCACAAGGTCCGTTATTGTCCTTGAATCTCCATCTTCGTTTGTAGTTGAAATTCACCCAAAAAATAAAAACAAGTTGTCATAATTGGAGAGGCTTGAAATATCAAATGTTAGGGCACCAAGCTCATTTACATACTTGTGTATTGCCTATAGATGTTTTGAGTTTTCAGAGCCAACTATTTGCTTCATTGATGACATTCAATAGAAAAAGGATCATGTTACCTGAACCCGTTCCTATCCCTGATTTTTAACTTTCAGGGATCCCCATCCTCATTTCGTTCTCATCAGCGCAGGTACACCGTCACCGAGTTTCTCGATGGGGCCGGTCTATTCCCATGCCTATGGCTAACTTGTAGATTTGAAACTGTAGGGACGAAAATCGTTACAACCAACAAACCACAGGGACCAAAACTGTAGTTTACTTTATAATACAACAGTGGGGGTTCGTTATTGGTAGAAAAAGGATCGTCGTCATCATCTTCAAACAGGATTCCAAGGAGCGATGGCCATGGGAGACGAGAAGGTGAAAAACGAGGCGATGGAGATCATGGGATTATTTCAAGTGCTGCCTCGTTTAGTCGTCTTCGATCTCGATTACACTCTATGGCCATTCTACTGGTATATCTCTAATCTTCTATCCGTACTACTTATATTTCAATTTCATGGTTTGACTGGATATTTTGAAGTTTTGCCTTGTGTTTTGTTCATGAGTAAACCTGAATTCGAAGTTCTGTGCGAGTTTTTATCTCTAATATAAGAAAACATTAGTGTGTGTTTTTGTTGAGAATATGCTTCTTAACTGCATATATGTTTTTGTTTTCTTTCTAAAAAGTCAGTTAGTATGCTTCTTCGATGTAAAATTATCTATTTACACGATGTTCTTCATAATCAGAGGAATTATATTGATCCAAAATAATTTTGGAACGGAGGAGTAATTTATATCTACATGTTTGTAAGGCCATCCCCAATATAGGACACCAAATCTTACACCAAATACCAAATTTGACACCAAATCATTCCAATGGAGGTATCAAATTTAGTATAATGAATAGTAACACACCAAATTTGGCTTTTCATTTACACCAATAAGAAAAGATAAAAAGGAACATAGGTAGAATCTTACATTTTGGTGATTTGGTGCTTACTGTACGAGTAGATTTATTGTTTGCATCAAATTTTACTCCAAGTTCTATGTATTTGGTGAAATATCTAGCGTTACCCATTGGAGATGCCCTAAGGATGTTATAATGTATACCTAACATCGATTCTCTCATCTACATACAGATTTATACAGTGGTTAGTTGGGGAGGGTGAATAATCTTCTTACTAAACCAAGGGTCCCAACAAGAAATATCCTATATATCCAAACCGTGGGATTTTTTTAGTAGAGCTTGAGTTGGATGTAATTGGGCTGTTTATTTCATGAATGATGATGTTTTAGGTACATTTTCTTGAATGATTTTGTTTGTAGACGTTTATAAAATGCTGGATATTGCTACATGCTGTAAATCCATCCATCACACTAGAAAATTTCATGAATTTTTACTCTTATGATTAAACTAGTCTCTTCCTCCACGTGTATGGGTGCTTGTAAGGTTTGGGAGGTTATTCTGATATATGATTGGCAGATTAATTTATGCTGCCAAGGTCTTTAATTATAATATCTATTCAATTCAGATGACTGGGAAACTCCCTTTTTTCACAATTTTCTCATAGCCTGAAAGTATAAGGAATTATACTTGATATGACTATGCCCCAATGTAGTATCCAGTAACTCATTGTTTAATGGATTCTTAATCCTTACAAAAACTAGAATCTGGACTCTAGATTATGTAAATAAAAGAGTTCAGTGACACCCTTCCTCTTTCGTTTATAAAATTGATCCACTTATAGAAAATTATATCCTTGTCATGTCTATTGGTAACTTTTTCAGTCTTTTTGTTTGGAATACAAGGGCCAATTGTAGCTATACAAGACATACATTTTTCCATAAACTTGTTTTAAGGTCTGAAACTTCTCCCTGTTCTGCCATATCTTTGTATTAAATGCATATTGTTTTTCATTTAGGTGATAGGCGGCTCCATTTAAAGGTATAGGATGAGAAATGATCTAATTCCAATGCATGTAGTGTTTTCTTGTATAGTGCTTGAGGAGATGAGTGAATTTATATTTGGGATAATTTTATATTATCTTTAGATATCAAGTTCTCTGGTGTAACAACAAATTGAGGAGATATATTGATTACAAAAGATAGCCACTTGTGTTTGGCAGAATGATGTTAAAATACTTTTAGCTAAAACAATTTATTTTTTGTTTTAATTGTCAGTGAATGCCGATCCAAGCGTGAGATGCCGTCTATGTATCCCCATGCTAAAGGTATCTTACATGCACTAAGGGACAAAGGAGTTGACATGGCTATTGCCTCTAGATCACCATCCAGAGACATAGCAGAGACTTTCATTGACAAGTTGGGCATTAAATCGATGTTTGTAGCCCAGGTTTGTAAATTTCTTTATTTTGTTTCATGATTCTTTGATCTGTTAGTGCTGGTAGCAATCAACATGACATATTATTTGGGAGAGGTATCCATACTTACCAGGTAGAAAAGCACCGTATCCCTCTAACAAGGTGTAAAATCTCCTTGTGACCACGGAGGTTCAAATGCGGTGACTCCGGGTCTGCAAAGCAGGTGGTCACCCTGGGATTAATCGGCTCGCATAGCGGGTTGGATATCCAGGTTAATAAAAAAAAGGTGTAAGGCTATAAGGATTGCTTCTATTTTTACTAGGGATATACCAAACTAACTAGTTGTAGGCTCATCAGGAGCAGGTAGTGTGACAGGGGTCATCAGCTAGTTCTTGTTAGTAATATGCTCCTTGCAACTTCAGGACTTCTAACCTTCCACACTAGAGGCGATTTTGTGCACCTATATGTGCAAATAGTCTGTGTATCGTCTTTTTTTTTCTCATGTACATTACACTTCAGCAAAATGGAAATGAATATGAATAAATTATAGCAAAGGGGAAGACTGTTATTGGGAGATCAGATTTAATGGTACTGATTATGAATTCTGATTATTGATACTCTATTTGCAGCCTGTTAAGAATGACGATTATGATAGAAGAAGGCAGGAACTAGGAATTTGAGATAAAAACCAAAGCAAACCAAACAGGCCCAGACCCGATGGTTGGTGGATGTATGTAGACCTGACCTCTGCCCCTCCACCCAGAAGGGTAGAGCGGTTGCTTCAAGACCCCCCCCCCCCGGGCGGCTTGTGTGTAGTGTGGGAAAAAACAGAAAAAGAACATAGAGAGCATTCAAGGAAGAACTTGAAAACAAGATAGGCTTTACTGCAATTAAACACTGGTCAGACGTAACTCGTAAGCAACGAAAAGCCTAACAAACAAGCAAAGAGAACATACAAACGGAAGCAAATACATGAAAACGTAGTCGAAAGTAGGATTTGGGTGGTAGGACCGTAGGATGTACACAGACCTTTTTTCTACCCCAAGGGGGTAGAGAGGTTGTTTTTCTGCAGATCCTAGACGTGCAAACGCTTTTTGGAGAGTCAAAAGAGAAACAAGAGAATCTGTCACAGTTTTTTTTAAATGAGAGGATTTTGAAAAGACACTCAGGAGCATGAGATATAGGAAATTATTACTAGAAAAACAGTGTGTGCAAGCAGTCAACAAGGACAACAAGAAGTAACAACGGTAAGAACAAATATGCAAAAAAAAAAAAAAAAAACTGAAACGTCAAATGACTAAAAATGAAGTACTAGGACCGACCCTCTGTCTCCAACCATGACAGAACATTGCTATTTTATCGGTCGGTTCTTTACCCTGCTCCCTTTCTAAATTAGTTACTAGTCCCTACAAAAAAATATGTTATTATAGTTCAACATCTCCAAGAACTTCTATCAAAGGTCATGTCCTTGGAAAGGTCCAAGGTCCTCATGCTCATCCTCAACTGCTCATCATACGTCCTCCTCAGCCGTCTTTTCCTCTCTACATGCCCCCCACCCCTTTGCACCAGAGTCATCATCTGTTTTCTCTTAACGTTGCGAAACCATATAGTCTTTCCTCTCACAGTTTATCCATGATAGGCTTAACCTCTAACCCTGCCTTGAAAACTCTGTTGGTATCCTATCCAACATGGTTGACCACATGTCCATCTCAGCATTCTCATTTCTGCAACTTCCATGAGCTCTTTTGTTCAATTTTCATTTTGCCCATGTGCCATTGGTGCTCTTGGTTAACCATTTAATAGACTGTTGGTTTGATCTTATAGGGTCTTATTGTTAATAAATTGGGGGTTCAAATGCGATGACTCCGGGCTATCTGCAAAGCAGGTGGTTGCCTTGGGATTAGTCGGCTTGCATACCGGGTTGGATATCCAGGTTAATAAAAAAAAAAGATGGAGAGGTTGACTGATATCAAGTGAATAAAAGAACTGGGAGCTTTTTCTTTGATCATAAGAAACGATTAATATACGATGATGTCCTTATCTTGAATCTGATGCTCAAGATATCCTAGGTATTTGTTTGCCAAAAGAAGGGGAGAGAGATTTTTGGTATTTCTTTGCCAAAAAAGGGGGAGAGAGATCCTAGATATTCTATAGGGAAGCTCAAAAGTACTAGTTCTACTTTTATTGTTTTTTTTTTAGACTTATTTTTAATTTCTCATACTGCATCAGCCATGTTCCATTCTCATAGCACCACTATTTCCTGTTACCCTTTTAAGTTCCATTTGCACTGCAAATATGTGTTACCATTTGAACATCTAGATATGACTGATGAATCTAATTAATACCACTGTTTTTACTAGAGGAAATGCTTCTTAATCTGGATTAATGGTGCTATTCTAGGATATATCTATGCGCTGGCATTAACGCTAAGGTGCTGTTTGGTTTTTAAAAGGTGCTGAAGTCTTAAAACAGAATCGATAAGACTCGTTGTACTTGTAAACTGATGAATGTCTGAATGTCTGAATGTAAGCGGAATCAAAGTTACTGGTCATAAGAAACTATTACCAATAAATAGAAAACCATAAATGGTAATTGAACTTGTCAAAAATAATATTTTAATTTTTCTAAAATAAAGGAAGTGTTGGTGTTCTTTTGAGTACCAAGTTTTGTGCTAATGAGACTCGAGCATCTTATATTTTCTTAATCTTAAAATGCACTATTGTCATGGTACAAGTCGTAAGGCTCAAGTTTGTTATCTGCCCCTTGTTTCTAGAGTTCCAAATTTTTTTCTTTGTATTAGAAAAATAAGAAGACAGTAAGAGTCTAATAAGACATGGCTTTATGAGGACGGTAAGATGTTTTAAGCTCTTTATCACAGTCGTATAAAGTCTAACCTCTTATTTTGTAAGATATAAGTGGTGAATAAGAGGGTTTTTTCAAGAAACAATCAGCATCTAATATTACTTAGGGCCGTTTACCAAACACTTACCCTGTAAGTGCTTACCGGCAAAAAATAATATTATCATTTACTTACCGGGTAAGATTTTAGTCCATCAAAATGGCATCGTATGCAACAATTTACCCGGTAAGCACTTACTGTGGTAAGAGTCATTGTCCTCACTTACCGGGTAAGATTCTTGGTTCTTGTCTTGCTTTTACCGGATAAGATTTTTTGTCCTCACCATATTCATCCGATAATGTAATGTGATTTGATAAGTGCTTACTCGGGTAAACATTTGGTAAACGGCCCCTTACTGGATTAAATATGTTTAACTTTTATTTGTTATGTCTTCAAAATAATGGCATAAAAGTAGGCTGATCATATAAACACAAATATCTCCTTTTGATGTTTTAGGAAATCTTTTCCAGTTGGTCTCACAAAACAGAACATTTCAAGAAAATCCAACAGAAGACTCGAGTGCCGTACGAATCAATGCTCTTCTTCGATGACGAAGATCGTAATACAGAAACGGTACAAGTTCTTCCCATATCTTTCCTTCATTGGGAATTTCGACAATAAACGTTGATAAAAACAATCCATTTTGCAGGTGTCCAAAATGGGGGTGACAAGCATTTTGGTGAACAATGGGGTGACTCTTGGAGCCTTGAGGCAAGGGCTAACACAATTCTCCCAAGGTCCAACTTCAACAAAGAGGGATAGGAAGAAATGAACCAACACTCTTTTGAGCCTCTTAAGAATTTATACACTTGGATATTGCTGGGAATTTGGTAATTTAAACCGAATTCGGATTCGAAAAACTAGTTGAATCATGTACCATCGTACACACACATTTGTAGTAACTATGAGACACTATTTTTTTATTAACCTGGATATCCAACCTGTTATGCGAGTCAACTAATCTCAGGATGACCACCTGCTTTGCAGATAGATAGTCAGGAGTTACCGCATTTGAACCTCCGTGACCACAAGGGGATTTTTATTTCTCATTGGATTTGAACCTGAGACCTCATGGTACTTTTGATCTTTGGAGCCAAGCTCAAATCAATCAGGCACCACCCTTGTAGTTGGTTATTTTTTATAGTTAACTCGGGGTTAATTTTTTGATATTTGTTAATTTAAGATTTACTCTGTAGGTTACTTTGATGTTAACTTCACACATTAGGGTTTATTTGTTTACATTTGAGGTTAATATGATGTATCTCAATCCGATCATGTAGAATCACCAAATGAAAAACCGGAAACACATCAACAATCGATTAGTTTTAAAGTTTTAAGAGATAATTTTTTTGAAAAACCAGTGTATCAATTTTTATTAACTTAAATATTTAATTTATATCTAAACGACACAAAATACAGCAAAAACGGAGTCAGTGTAATAATTTTATAATTAACTTTTAGTTTTATTTATTACGATAATTCCCACTGCCAAAAAATTATGAACCCGTCACTACGACCATTCTATTAAAACAAATCAATGGTTTGAATGACTCCTTATCTTTTCATGTCATTCTTGATTACTGGATGATTTAATGCAGAATGATTAAGAACTCTCATGATATAATGTAAAATAAAATATAATTATTTATAATAAAATTAGAACGTTGAATGATTAAAAAAGACCATGATGTAAAATCTTTCGGATGATCTTAGAATCATTAAGGGAAAATTGCATCAAAATGGAACCAACTTTCACCTGATTCCTATTTTAAGGAACCAACTTTCAAAATTATCATTTAAAGGTTTCTATCAAACTTTTTGTTTATTTAAGGGTCTCGTTGACCTGTTTAGCAGGTAACAAGTAATTTATGATGAGTTGGCAAATTATAATTTAAAGATATATTAGGTGGATATTAATTTGCCAAATCATGAATATTATTAAAAAAAGATTAACAATCAAAATTTGAGTATCTTCAAAATCTGAGTATCGAAGAGTCTCCCTTGCTCGACTATCTCCTCCGGCGGCCTCTCCGGTCGACCCGGACACCAGCCATCGTTGCCCTCTCCGGTCGACGCGGACACCAGCCATCGTTGCCCTAGTCTATCGTCTCGACTATCTCCTCTGAGTGCCTCTCCGGTCGACGCCCGCAACAGCCATCGTTGCCCTCGTTGCCCAAGACGTCGCTGTTCACACTTCTGGCTGCCTCTCCGGTCGACGCCGGCACCAGCGGCATTCACAAGGTATGAATCCTCTCCAATAAGTTCTTTCATCATGTGATTCTTAATCTCTTATTGGTGTTTCTTCTCCCGTGTTTCTTCCAAGTGATTTGATTGTGCCCTAAATCTGACTGCATATTAAAAAATTCTTTGTTTGCAATGG